CTCGTGGTAAGAGGATGCTGTGGGCTAAAGCCCCATAACCATCTATCTCTATCTTCCGTTAAGAATCAAAACGTTAAAGCGTTGTCACCCCTGAAGAAGATAAAGTGCCTCGTATCCAGTAATAAAGTTCTCCGGTTGTTTATTTTAGTGTATTTTATGCTGGTATTCTATTAGATAGCGTGATCCTACCCGGTCTAGCCGACCCATTTGTGCTACAACCATAATTATATAGCTGCAGCATGACTAAAAAAGTATTAATATGCTGATAAATAAATACTTAAATTTGAATATAGAATTCTCTATTCAATGTAATTATTTTGCCATTCATATTTATTTTAGCAGGGATGGGAGATATGATAAGGATATAGAACGACGAGTGAATGCGGGAAATAGAGTAAATAGGGCGCTGCTCTCTATTGTGAAGAGTCAAAATGTGTCGAAAAAGCCACGTATGGCAATTTACAATGCTGTGTTGGTCCCTACTTAAACGTAGTGGTAGTGAAAGTTGGGTGTTGCAGAAGAAGCACGAGAGTAGAATGAACGCAGTAGAAATGCGGTCGTAAAGGAGTATATTAGGGCTGAATCTGAATGACAGGGTAAGAAATTGTGTAATAAGAGAAGATTGTGTTTTGCAAGATGATGTTGTGACCAGGGTTAAGAAAGGAATGCTTCGGTGGTATGGTCAGGTGGAAAGAATGAATGAGGAAAGAGTGACAAAGAAAATTTATGTTGCAGAAGTGAATGGCGGAGTCGGAAAGTGACGTCCTAGGCGCAAAATTTATCGACCAAATTGGCAATTTATTGAAAACGGGCTAAATTAGGAGTACCCTTAACCGACGAGAATGTATGCGTAGGTGTATGGATGTGAAGGAGGCGAGAGAGGTGTGTCAGGATCGTGCCAAATGGAAGTCTGTAGTCTCTGCCTACCCTCTGGGTGACAGGCGTGAGTGTTTATGTATTTATGTAAGGTGCGTTGGGGTAATACCGGACGGATTTCCGACTAGTTAAAAGAGTCTGGCAAAAACTTTATTTTCTTGACATCCATATACGTCAGATTTCTGAAACATGGCGCAAATCGTTAATGGTTACACGTTATTTAGCTATAAGAAGCTTTTACTTTTCAAAACTCAACAGTTTCTGCTTAAAACGTGTGCGAAGACAAGGCATAATTTTTTATATGCTTGATGAAGAATTGGCCATCAAGGGGAAAGACCGGACGTCGCTACAAATCGCAAATAAAAGTGATAGGGAAAGACCGGACAGACGAAAAAAATTCAAAAATTACCTTGTTTTATAAAATACTGCGCAGCGCACGCCCTACTTTTCGGAGCAACTACCTGAAACTTGGGGTCGGGGCAGAATAAAATGGAGTCTTGTACCATATTGCTAGCTTTCAAAAATATAGCATAATTCACCGGAAATTTGAATTTTACGGTCTGTATGTTATGTTTGTAATATTAAGTTGAAATTTGAAAGAGTGACCAGGAAATCAGTATTTATTCTTCCGTCTATATCAAAAATGTCTCATCTCATTTATTAGGCTACACTGTGATTTTGGCGATAAATAAAAACAAAATACTATTTAAAGTGCTAACGCTTTGTAGCTATGGGAAGGCCTTTGTTCAAAAGATTTTTTTTCAGGACTGTTTTTTTTTATAGAATAGGGTAGACAAGGGTACTATAACGTCCCACTGCTGGGCTCAGACGTCCCCTCATTTCTGAGAGGGTTTAGGGCAAGGAAGTGTCCGCCGCGCTGCCCAAATGCGTGTTGACGAACTTCACATGTCTTCGAAATATTTTTTTCTTATTCCTCAGACATGCAGGTTTCCTCACGATGTTTTCCTTCACCGCCGAGCACGTGGTAAATCAGCACTTAAAATTGCACTTAACAATTTCATTGGTGCCGGCGGGGATCGAACACGGCTTACTCGCGTTCTGATATATTTACAGCGAGCGTTCGCGGTTATCATAGATTAAAATTATAATTTTAAAAAGTTAAATATACGCGATAAAAATCGTAAAAACTAGTATTATGTTTAGTGTATTAAATGTGTAGTGTTCGCGTAAATATAAGGAATCATTATAAAATTTTCTTTTAAATATTTGTACTCGTAAGTTTAAATTCCGTCAAAAACATAAATGTGAAATGGGGACTAAACTCGGTACAAACGACGAATGAATGAATGCCAAGCTCACAATTTTATCAATCTAAATAAGTACATTGCCTTCAACGTTTTTACATGCGTTTTCTTTACATTATAAAGAAAGAAAGACGAAGCGCTACGTTAACTGTGAAGCAAAAACCATACTTATTGTGACAAAATGCACTCACGTGCAAATATGCATTTAAAATAATCTGCGACCAGCAAGATGGTTTTACATGCATTTGTTTTGTTTCTGTTTTACTGTAAGCAGTGATCTTGTATGGACTGGTAGATAAGGAAATAAGAAAGACATGTACGTGAGTGGGTGTGAAGAAGTTGATCGTGATCTCGGCATCACGTAGCGCTCCGCCTTTCTTGCAGCATTGAGCTATTTTACGCTGGCATTCTGTGAGAGCGTGATACTTTCCCAGTCGAGCCAACCCATTCGTACTACAACCATAAGATAGCATATACAGCGTGGCTCTACCACGCGCCTTACGTAACACAGCAGCAGAAAGAAGAAGAGCTCCTTTCCTGGTAGTTCAATAGCATTCCATCTTATTCATAAGAGGTGACAACTCATCCGATTTGATTCTTAATCGATGATAGATAGCTTGCGCTTTGGAAATGACAAACAAAAATAGAACATGGGTATACATATAGACCTAGAATTAGAGGGCTATACAAACATATATTATAGATTTGTGGGTTTTTTAATAATTTATAATTTTATATTTTTTTGATAACAGAGACCAAAACGTAAAAATGTTCTATATTCAGGACATGCATTTGTAATGTAAATTCACCAATTTCTCAGAAACCAGTTAAGCTAGGGGTTCCCAAAGAATGCGTTGCGACGCCCTGGTAAGCTGCAGAGAGTAAAGAAGGGCGCCGTGAGGCCTAAACTTAGGTATTTGACTTGCGTACTAAAAGAAGCTGTAGCTATAAATAGATTTTCGTTCAAAGATAAATGTCACGTCTTATACAACGCTTTAAAAAATGTGTGGAAATCACCAAGTTCACACGATATATTGACTAAGTAGCCATTGTATTCTTTTTCTTATTTGTTGAAACAATAAATTTGTCACTATAAATGTTTAAACTAAGTTTCGTATTGAATATATATTAATTTTCGTGGCTATCTACTTACCCTATTTCGACTAGTTGGGGCACCGAGATAAAATACTAAACCTGTAAGTGCGCCACGGACTGAAAAAGATTGGGAACCCCTGAGTTAATCGATTAAAATTATTCTTCATTTATATAGATTTTATGAAAATTCAACCCTTAAAGTGAAAATTGGGTCACAAAGTTTTAAAGTAGGTTTTGGATACAATGTGTTTTAGCACCGAATTCAGAAGCTATTTTATGGAAATTATATATATCATATTTTTAAGCCGGTTATTACTTATAATTAAAAGTTTATTTTTAAGAACGATTGAACTAAATTACATGGAAAGTAATGATAATTCGCTGTGAATTCACAAAAAATAGGTCACAACGATATTATCAATTAAAGGTATTCATTATCTTCTATAACTGAGGACTAGATGTCTGTTGTTTCGAAGTTTCAACTAGTCCAATAACTGACATCGTTTAAAGTAAAAACTAAGGGCATATTAATATCGTAGGTTGAACTTCATAATAACGTATCACTTATTCAAGTTCGTTATTAAAGTTAAACTGCTTTACCATTAACGATGATATTTATTACATAGCCGTTATAGCTCAGGAGACAAGTGATGTGGATTCATAATATTGCGCTCAATAGATGTCATCAACATTGAATAGAATGCGTTTTTAACCACCGCCGCAAAAGAGGGGTGTTATATGTCCTATCTACCTGTGTATCTGTGTGTCTGTCTGTGGCATCGTAGCTAACAAACGCGTGAACCGATTTCGATTTAGTTTTTTTTTGTTTGAAAGATGACTTGATCGAGAGTGTTCTTAGCTAGGATTCTAGAAAATCTTTTCAGCTGTGTAAAGATCATCAGCGCTTTTTTTCGGGAGTTTCTCAAATAATTATATTAAATTATAAATAAAAGTTTTTCGGTTTTATCCTTATGTGGTGCTCCGCAGCCATCATCCGCTCGCCCAGATGACAAAGGATCGTACTTCACTGCCCCATACACTGCTCGACGAAGTCTCACACTGTACAGTCTATCTAGTACAGCTCGAGGACTCTCTTTAGCTATGTATGGGGCACAAAGTCGAACGCCTTTATGTAGTCTATCCAGGCGGCGGAGAAGTTCCGATGGTTGCGTTTCACCACTTTGCAAATGACCGCGTCAATGAGGAGTGGTTCCTTGGTTCCACGACCACCGCCCCGACATCCATTTTGAGAGCGTGACATCACCTGATTTAGCTCCAGGTGACGAGTGATTCTCGCGCTCAAAATGGATGTCAGTGTCTTATATATGGTGGGTAGACATGATGGGGCGGTATTTGCTCGGGTCTGTGGTATCCTGATCTTTAGGAACCAAGTGAGTTATCCCAATAGTGAAGAGGCTCGGGAGCGACCTCTGATCGAGAGCCTCTTGAAACTGTCGGGCGAGCTCAGCGTGATACACTACGAACCCCTTCAGCTAGTAATGATGCAGCCCGTCGAGCCCCGGACTTTTCCAGTTCGGGGCCCTACGGACCGCCTCAGCCACGTCTTCCGGCGTTATAGTGACGGGGTCCATAGGCGTAATTCTCGCACTCTGGCTCGCCACAACTTCTATCAAAGGGCTCTCGCTGTGGTTTACGGGCTCTGACCACAGGCCACGCCAAAATGCGACAATGTTAGCCTGATCCGGTCCTGGGCCCGCTCCACATACCTCTGGTCGCTCCAATAATTTATAGAGCCTCTTCTGATCACTCTGAAAGAGACGATTCTGGTTGAACCGCTTTGACCTCTCGGTAAATCGTCGAATCCGCTTCCCCCAAGCAGCCATCTTTTGCTTCAGGTCGTCTATGCGCTCTGAAACTGATATTTGTCCCAGCAAACGCCATTCTAACGGTGCGCACAATCCTCTGTCTATTATTACCCGACCTGAAGCTTGTCAGTCTGCCGATAAGGGCCCTTGACTTTGCGATACGGTCCTCAATTCTTTTTCTCCAGGCTGCGATGGTGCTACTTTGTTTAGTAGCGCGTCCAGCCATGGGAAGTGTGGCGCTAATAATACGGCAAGCTGCCACTGCGGCGCCAAAAAGAACTGAGTCCGTCTCGCAAAGATCCCGGCTGGCTTCCAAATAGGTTACCAGCATTGGGTTAAGAGCCCTCACGACAGCCCGATTTCGCTTGCTGAGGGGTATGCGGGGGAAGTCGCGGTCGATTTTCGAGAGGGATGCTGCGCGTTATTATTTATTATTATTATTATTGGGGGGTATCAATATAGTTTTCTCATCTGGTTGGGTTCTATAAATATATAATTATAAATGGAAATGAAAGGATAAATATACGTAAATATCAATAAAATTAAATAAATATAAATATACATAAATAAATAAAAGCTCAACCAGATGGAGGCCCTCGGCAGGGGAGACCAAACGGCCGAGGGTTAGGGGGAAATGGGAAAGAAACCGGCGGACGATGCGGGCGGTATCGAGGAGCACTGCCTTTTGCATTTGAGCCAGGAGCGGTCCGCCACGTAGTCCCAGCTGCCTCAGATGACCCGAGAGGCTGACTGGGATTAGCCCGTTTGCAGAGACGACTACAGGAATAATTTCGGTCGGCAGACCACCCCACTAGTCGGTCACTTCGTGAGCCAGGTCCAGATATTTTGTTCGTTTATCTGTTTCGGCTTTCACGAGGTTCTCGTCATACGGAATGGTAATGTCGACCAAAAATATCCTTGACTGTGCCCGGTCCATCAGCACAATATCAGGCTTATTGGCAAGAATAGTCCTGTCTGTGATGATGGCCCTGCCCCAATAGAGCCTGGCGCGATCATTTTCGAGCACGGCTTCCGGCAAGTACTTGTAATACGGCAATTTCCGATCCACGAGACCGTATTTCAGAGCAAGCTCCTGGTGAAGAATTCTGGCTACTAGGTTGTGTCTGTGCAAGTACTCAGAGTTAAAAAGCGCCGAACAACCGGAGATGACATGCCTAGATGACTCACCGGGATGGCGACAAGCTCGACAGATGTCGACGTTGCCATCCTTTAGGATGAATCTCCGATAGTTGTTGGTCTTAATAACCTGATCTTGTATTGCACAGACAAAACCCTCGGTTACCCCGAAGAGATCACCAAAGCGTAGCCAGTGGAGGGAGGCTATTGCGTCTAGGAAAGGCTCATGCAGAGCCCTGTAGAACCTCCCGTGGAACTCCTTCTCCTTCCATACGGTCTCCCGGTAGGAAATGCTCTGCACTGCCGGGTCGTGCCATTGCTCGTTGGCTAAGGATAGAGGGGTAAGTCCTTTATCACAAGAAATGACGTCCTTATAGAATGGATCATCCGATCTCGCCAGGAAGTAATCACGGAGGCTGCACACTTCACGATTATGCATGGTGAGCGCGCTCAGGAAGCCACGCCCACCATGCTTTCGCGGCAAGTACAGCCTCATTACCGACGATCTCGGATGATGCATCCTATGGGACGTCATGGTAGTGCGGTCTTTTGTATCCAGGGCATTAAGTTGAGTCTGAGTCCACCTGAGTATGCCAAAGGTATATATGAGGACAGGCATGACCGAGCCGTTATATGCGTGTGCCTTATTCACACCGGACAAAAGGCTGTTAAGCACTTTGGTCAAGCGTGCATAAAACATGTCGCAAACTGACTGTTTCATACCAGCCTAATCGATACCGATGTTCTGTGACATACCCAGGTATCGGTATGTTTCAGCCTCGGAAAGGGTTCTTAAGTTGACGGGCATAGATAAGTCTATGCCCTCAGAAGTAGTAATCCTTCCCTTTTCAACATGGAGGACCGCACACTTATCCGTCCTCAGCTCCATTCCAATGGAATTGCTAAATTCACAAGTGATGTTTAGCAATTCCATAAGATGGGAGCGATTGGAGGCGAATAACTTGAGGTCATCCATATAGAAAAGGTGGGTCACTTTTGTCCCTCCTGTCCGTAGCTAAAATCCCCTCCCGGAGCCCTCCAGTAAGGTACTGAGAGGGTTCAGAGAGAGGCAGAACCAGATTGGACTCAGACAGTCGCCCTGGAAGATACCCCTTCATATCCTTATGTGGTTTTCCGCAGCCATCATCCGCTTGCCCAGATGACAAAGGATTGTACTTCACTGCCCCATACACTGCTCGAGGAAGTCTCTAACTATACAGTCTATCTTGTACAGCTCGAGGACTCTCTTTAGCCATGTATGGGGCACCGAGTTGAATGCCTTTCTGTAGTCTATCCAGGCGGCGGAGAAGTTCCGACGGTTGCATTTCACCACTTTGCCAATGACCGCGTCAATGAGGAGTGGTTCCTTGGTTCCACGACCACCACCCCGACATCCATTTTGAGCGCGTGACATCACCTGATTCGAGTCCAGGTGACGAGTGATTCTCGCGCTCAAAATGGATGTGTCTTGTATATGGTCGGTAGACACGTGATGGAGCGGTATTTGCTCGGGTCTGCGGTACCCCGGTCTTTAGGAACCAAATGGGTGAACCCAGTAGTGAAGAGGCTCGGGGGCTACTTCTGGTTGAGAGCCTCTTGAAACTGTCGGGCGAGCACAGTGTGACACACCACGAACTCCTTCAGCCAGTAGTGATGCAGCCCGTCGAGTCCCGAACTTTTCCAGTTCGGGGCCCTACGGACCGCCTCAGCTACGTCATCCGGTGTTATAATGACGGGGTCCATGGGCGTTATACTCGCACACTGACTCGCCACAACTTCCGTCCAAGGGCCCTCGCTGTGGTTTACGGGCTCTGACCACAGCCCGCGCCAGAATGCTACAGTGTCAGCCTGATTCGGTGCTGGGCCCGTTCCACTTACCATTGGTCGCTCCAATGATTCATAGAGCCTCTTCTAATCACTCTGGAAGAGACGATTCTGGTTGAACCGTGTCGACCTCTCGGTATATCACCGAATCTGCTTTCCCCAAGCAGCGATTCTCTGCTTCAGATCATCTATGCGCTCCGTCAATTTTTGCGTTATATCCGGCTGGGACAAACTGACATTTGTCCTAGCAAACGCCATCCTGACGGTACACACAATTCTTGGCCTGTTATTGCCTGATCTGTATCATATCAGTCTGCTTATGAGAGCTCTAGCCTTTGCGATACGTTCCTCAATTCTTCTTCTCCATGCTGGGATAGCGCTACTTTGGCAAGAAGCGCGTCCAGCCGTGGAAACTTTGGCACCTATGATACGGCAGACTGCCAGCGTGGCGCCAAAAAGAATTGAGTCCATCTCGCAAAGGTCCCGGCTGGCTTCCAAATAGGTCACCAGCATTGGGTTCAGAGCCCTCACGACAGCCCGATTCCGCTTGCTTAGAGCTATGCAGGGAAGTCGCAGTCGATTTTCGAGAGGCGTACTGCGCGTTTCCACAATCGCCTCTTCCAATGTACTCCTCATATGCTCAAATTCCAGCTCCTAGGCGACAGTTCCATCATCGTTTGAATCAACCACAACTGGGGTATTCACGGCGGCATTCACGTTTGCGGGTTGCTCTACAATTTGTGGCGCCGCATCCTCAGCCGTAGCATTTTCATCCGATGAGGAAACAGCCTCACGTCGTAGCCGTTCGAGTTCGGCGACATCAAATAGATTTGAGCGCAAGATACACCGAACTCGGTCTGCTAGGTTTTGCTCTGTGACGGTTAAAGATGGCTCCAGCTCAGCAAAAAGACGATGCATCCTAGCCCGATACACCAAACATCCAGTTTCTCCCCCTTTTGCCCTAAAGTACGCCCGCAGTGCGTTTGCGTTCATTGTTTGTGACCAACGCATGCGACGTGCTCCACCAGCGGCGGGTGCGGCTTGCTGAGTCCGAGAAGACCCAGCCGACACCAAGCATTCTGGTGGGGATGATGGATGCGGAGGGCTGCTAGGTGACCGTGCAGCTCCTCGCGCTCGGCTGGCGGCCCGCATGCTGCCGCGTCCAGCGCCAGCTCCAGACGCGCCCCGGCGACCCCCAGGCAGCGACCCTATGCGCGTTCCTCTCTGTGCCATCATCCATTTTATGGGCGCCAAATAACGGGAGATGCCCAAGTCCGGCACCGTTTCGTGGTTCGGTCATATGCACAAACGGACCTTTGCCCAGGCATGGCGCTCACATCTCTTGGCAGGGTGCTGACTGACTGCGCCGACGTAGCAGTTTTGTCACATAACTGTTACGTCAGCGGGCGATGGGGTCGTCACTTCCCTACGCCTTTTTATTATTGGGTTATTAATAGAGTAATCACATCTGGGTGGGTTGGATAAACATATAAAGGGAAAAATAAATATACTTAAATATATATTTAATATACTAACATAAATAAATAAATAATACATAAATAAATAATTGCCCAACCAGATGGAAGCCCTCGGCAGGGGAGACCAAACGGCCGAGGGTTAGGGGGAAAAAGAAAGAAACCGGCAGACGATGCGGGCGGTATCGAGGCGCACCGCGTTCTGCATTTGAGCCCGGAGCGGTCCGTCACGGAGTCCCAGTCGCCTCAGATGGCCCAAGAGGCTGGCTGGGATTAACCCGTTTGCAGACACGACTACAGGAATAATTTTATTATTAATATTATTTTGTACATATCTATATTCTCCCTATTAAAGGGGTAACTTAAAGCCTAAACACACGGGCCGAAGCCAAGCGTGAGCAGGTGCTAGGTGATGGTGTAAGCAGAGGTGACGGATGACGTGGTGAGGAATTTGCGTGTGAGTCGGCAGGTGTTGAGAATGACAGCTTTCTGCAGGGTGTGAAGTGTGTGTTGGGGTACTTGCAAAATATCTAGACTGAGTTGTAGGCTTTTAGGTATAACTCCAGTAGATGAGATAACTATTGGGACTATATGGATGGTTTCTGCTCTCTATTGACGCCTGAGTTCTATAGCTAAATCTTGATATTTTGTAAGTTTTTCAGCTATGGTGGATTGAATGTTATGGGTGTTTGGTATGGCAATATCAATAAGGTAAGCTAAGTAGTTTTGTTATTTTTGTCATACACTGTGATATCGGGCCTATTGAAGTGAATAGTTTTATCCGTGTAATGGTCCTGTCCCAATAGGTTCTATGATTATTGTTTTCTAATATGGTGTCCGGCTTATATTTTTAATATGGTGTCATTTTTTGTGAAGAGTTCACCGCGCCTCAGCCAGGCGTTCGACGCTTTTTTGTCGACATGTGACAGCTGCAGGTCGTGGTAGTGCCTTCCGTGTAGGGACTTCTGTTGCCATGAGGCCATCTTCTCTTTTACGTCAGTGATCCGTTCACTGTGTGTTTCGGTCCGCGAGGTTAAGTGGTGTGAGGCGTTTGTCGGCTAAGGTTACTATTTCGTGGAGAAGTGAGTGTTCTGAGCGTTGATGGAAATATTGTTGAAGGGATTTGATTTATTTATTGTGCAAGTTGAGGACATCTATTATACCTCGTCCTCCCTCGGATCTTGAAAGAGTCATCCTTTGCACGCATGATCTAGGGTGGTGCTTGCGGTGAGTCGTTAGAGTGGTATTTATAATACGTTGCAGATTGATAAGGTCACCTTGAGTCCAGTTTATTATACCAAACGAGTATGTCAGTATGGGGATTGCGTAACTATTGATTGCTTTTGACATGTTGCGGGAGTTGAGTTGAGACCGGAATATACTATTGAGCCGATGTTTAAATTTCTTTTTGAGACCTTATTTCGTTTCCTTTTGATGGATCTGTCGCGCTTGTTGGAAACCTAAGTATTTATATGAGGCGTGGGGTTCTAGAGGTTCAATCGTGTCTCCTGTTACTAGGCTATAACTGTTGGGGTAAATTTTTCCATTTTTAACCGAGAAAGCTTTGCACTTGTCAATCCCAAACTTCATATGAATGTCGTTTGAGAAAGATTGGGTGATGTCTGCGAGGCGATGCAATGACTGTGTAGTGTTACCGTATAGTTTTATGTCATCCATGTACATCAGGTGTGTTAGAGTGGTGTGTTTGTGTGGTGTGATGATAGAGTAACCATAATTGGTTTTATTCAGCATTTGCGAGAGAGGGTTTAATGCGAGACAGAACCATATAGGGCTAAGCGCATCCCCTTGGAAGATTCCTCGACGTATTGGAATTTCTGATGTTTCTATACAAGACGTTCCTATGGTTTTTAATGTAGTTTTCCAGTGTTGCATTGATTTTTCAAGAAAATTTATAAGTTGTGGGTGAATTTTATAGTGTTGAAGAACATGTAGGAGCCAGCTGTGCGATACGGAGTCGAATGCTTTTCGGTAGTCAATATACATTGTATTGATGTTCTTCCTTTTAGAAATAGCATGTTTCATTGCTACGGAGTCTATTATGAGTTGCTCTTTACACCTCTGACTACTTTTATGACATCTTTTTTTGTTCTTCAGTAAGGATGTTGTTTGTGGCTGTATGTTGATATGTAATAGTTCGGCTATACATGCTGTAAGTAATTTATAAATGGTTTGGAGACATGTGATAGGTCTGAATTTGGCAGGATTTTGATGATCTGCGTCTTTCGGAATCATGTATGTGAGGCCTTGTGTAATGTATCGGGGCATTATGTCTGGCTTTTGTATAAAATCATTGATATGGTTATGAAGTAGAGGGTGAATTGTTGAAAGTTTCTTATACCAGTAGTTATGTATACGGTCACTTCCGGGTGCTTTCCAGCTATGGTTTTTTTAATATATGCACAAATACTTCCAGAGGTATTTGTTCAAATGTCATTGATGTGATAGAATCAGTAACTTCGGAATCTGATTTCAGCCATTCTGCCTCAGTGTTGTGGTGAACCGGTATAAACCAAATACCAGACCAGAAGTAATGTAATTCATTGGCGGGTGGTAATGGTGCAACTACTCTATTTCTAAGTGTGTCGTTTTTCGTGTCTGAAGTTAGGCTCCTATAAAATTGTTTTTCATTATTGATAAACTGGCTATTTTGTGACTTCCTAAGTGTACAGTTAAGGTATCTTTTTAATCTGCTGGATGCCGCATTCAGTTTTTGTTTAAGTGTGTCAACGAATTGTTCATCGCTTAAATTGAGTTCTTCGTGCTGGGAATGTATTCGGTATTTATTTCTTATTGCTTCCACTGAAGTGGTGAGTCTATTGCTTCTATTGCCTTTGGTATATTCTGTTAGCCTTCCAATGTCTCTTCTGAAATCCAATATCTTTTTTTGCAACCTTTTCTGCCAGGCAGGTTCTTTATTTCGACTTTGGGTAGGCGTTGTGTTTGTGTCTCTGATTTTGGTTCCGTTAATTACAGCTACTGTGTACACCACGCAGTAAGTTATGGTCTGAGTGGTCTCAAAATCCTGCTCTCTCGATATGTGATTTGGTAATATTTTAGTGTTTATAAAATCTACAATTTGTGCTAGCCTTTTAGAAGTTTTTTGTTTTGGTATATAAGGTCGTTTAGTTGGGTTGGTATTCCGAAATTTGTCTATTGCTATTCTAAACAGTTCCTGGATTTTTTCGCGTCGTTATTTTCTATTGCTTGGTTTTTTTGAGGTTCAGAGCCTTGAATGGATATCACTGATTCGTCAATTTGAGGTTGTAAGGTTACTAAGTGTATGCACGGGAGTGTTACTTTCTATAATGAATGGATGAACGTCGGCTTCTTGTGAGTTTTCTGTTTCGGGTGTAAGGTGTAATCGTGTGTTGTGATGTGATAAGTGATGAATTATTTTCCATATTCTCTCGTCGGGAATTCAGGTTGCTTGATATATTGTCACGTATCTTTTGAAATCTTTGTTCATTAACCATTTTATTGTTCAATATTACTCTGAGGGGGGATAATCGGGGGGATAAGTCGCTCGCGTCCGTAGGCTTTGACCACCTAATCCTAGGCCCA